CTTTACGCAATGCGTTCCCATACACAGAGGTTGAAAGAAGGATGGTGTCCAGAGTTGCTGCTTTGATCAAGGAGTTCTCGAGTTTTCGAGAAGTGCATGAATAATGATCAGTAAGCGCACTTTTTGTGCTTATACTGAGAAAGTATAGGAATAATGTGCATAAGAATAATTTGCTGCAACGGGAGCGGACACTTCCAGTGGGAGACGAAGCATATGCGCGTCCTCTGATCTTGCCAGTAGTAGGCGCTTCTGCTTCGTCAGATAACATTTTCCTTTGCCTCACGCAAATCCTTGAGTCAGTGAGTGATACTGGATATGTAGGTTCGCTTGCAATCCAACAATCATTCTGGGAGCTCAAAATAAAGGGTACAGATGATCCTTACAGGATACAATCTTACCCGTACGTTAGGTTTAGCCTCTTTACGAACTCTCAAAGCACAAGCCAACTCACCAATGGACAATTCAAAAGATTCTCCGCGAAGGGTCGTATTGCGGCTACGAATTCCGTGAAGAAATGAGACTGCTTTTGCCGCGTTGGCACGTTTAAACAAATTCTTGCAGAAGCATTTGAGACCACTGATACCCAGTCCAACTTAAAAGAGATGTATGAATGGAAAACTCGTAGACTTGGCTCGAAGCGTGAAAGTTAACTGTGCATTTGGCATAGATAGTTGAGATAAAAATTACTTCATTGCATACCCACCGCAGAAAATGACACCTTCGTTGGAGAATCTGGACCACGACGAACAACATCGACAATTAAACCTGTTGGCTTACCAGATGGCGGCTCAACAAACACCAAAGCCTAGAATTTCGTTGTATGATTCAACAAATATTAAGATTCGTCAATCAAGCGTACCATTTGATCAGAAACAGAGCTGATGCTCAAGGTGGTAAGCAAATTCGTAGTCCGCTGAACTCGAGCTAACGCTCGCGTCAGCATTGCTTTTTGAAGATTATAAGTTCCTCGGTCAGAGAACCATGCCAGTCCTGAATTTACAAACTATGAGATCTTTTACTCCACAAAGGGAATGGTAGAAATACAGACCAACAATATGAATTCCACCAGGTAGGATTCTTGTCACCTTTTCTGCATTGTCAGCAATCCATTCGTCATCTAGTGTTTTACTCAAAGCATCACCAGACTGAAAAAGATCAGCCGTGATTGCCAAAAAGAGAGAAGTTCTTCCTTATTCAACATTAGCCAGCTTGAGCGGTTTGAAGCATCAAACGAAATTAACCATACAACAGGCAGTTGGTGAGTTCCGTTCAGATCAGCACCAGCAGGCACGCCAAAGCATGAACATGAAGTTCACTGTTTAATTATTGACCATGAAAAACTTACCATGAAGGCCGGTCATACTTTGCCGTTCGGTTGCAGATTTCAAATTTACATTCACTACACCCCCCCCCCCCACGGGTATCGACAACCCCCACTATCACGGCCTTAGTGGGTCATTCGACACGGCCTCCAACCACCACCTTGATCACCATGGCAGTTTCCATAATATTTGATCTGAATGTGACACTGGCCCTCTAACCCTACCCATATCTTCTCCGGAACGGCAGTCTAGTGTGAAGGGGGTGGTAAACGAGTAAATACAGGGGTGGCCAAAAAAGAGACACTTTGCCCATGGCGCACATCATCGAACTTTTCGTCGCACAGGGTGCCGATGTTAATGAAAGTTTTACGGCGGAATATTCCTTAGGTGTTCCCCCGTAAGCAGAAGCAGGCCCTCCTTCACTGCCCCCACCGTCTTCAGAATATGACGTCATCTGCCGCCACCGTCGAGCTCAACGAGGCTTACCGTAATCGCTCCGGCCTGAAGCTGCTACATAATTTCTTCAATGGATTAATGAATTGAATAGCTTCCCAGAGACATTAGCTGTGACTATGCAAAACCGCTTTTGACCAGCGTTTCAGGGACGTCGTAATGGTCTATGGTACCTCGACGACCTCGTTCAGCTCGTGTTTCCGTGGAAAAATCTTCTTCTCTCACTGCTTGGCCGCGCGCCATAAATCCCAGGGTGAAATTTGCTAGGACAAGAAGGGACTTTTTGCTTTTCGCAGCACGAAACATTTTCGCCGGAAGGACCCCAGGTTCATTCATGATCAGCGGTGGACCTGATGCTCCCGCAGCGAAATGGTTCGCGCTGCGAAGTTAAAAAGTCCCTTTCTGTCCAGGCGAACCACACCGACGATCATACTTTGGCCGATGTCATAGTATGCAAATCGAGCGAATCGCTGGATCCGAACCATGTACCAGCGACTCGACACTGTTTGAAAGTGGCGGGACCCAACGTTTAAAGGAAGTCCACTTCAAAGGACCACACTGTTTGAAAGTGGCGGGCTTCCTTTAAACGTTGGGTCCCGCCACTTCAAACAGTGTTGAGTCGCTGGTACATAGTTCGACTCGCTGGTACATCGTTCGACTCGCTGGCGCAAAGTTCGATTCGCTGGTGCAACGTTCGATTCGCTGGCGCAACGCTCGGATCCAGCGATTCGCTAGCGAATCGCTCGATTCGCAAACTATGACATCGGCCATTGGAACTGCATTGCACTTCGCTGGCAGTTCGAGTGTGGGCTTGATACGTATCGACCGCGATTGCATTGGTATATCTACTCCAAAATCAAACCGTAAGAGCGCATTTATGGCCGGTCCTCCGATCGTAAAAATCGCACTTCATTAGATACATGACGGTCATCGGATGTGTCGGATGATCGGACGATCGACATTGCGATCACGATCGCTAAATCGAACGACTGACCATAAGTGCTCTTTTAGACAGTCGCAAAGTATGATCGCACACTTACTGCAATTTACACTGCAGTGATGTCAGAGCACAGTTACTATCTATTTATGAGATTTTGGGCTCGGAGAATTATACGTGCCGAACCATTCTTGCCCTGTGTGGACTCCGCCTATGTACCGATATGGTCAACTACTCACTCTGAGCGGGGTGTGGTTCATTAGGACAGAAAGCGAGTTTTTCGCGTTTCGCAGCGCGAAACATTGTTCGCTGCGGGAACCTCGGGTCCACTGATGATCAGCGGTGGACCTGAGGTTCCGCAGCGGAGGTTGTTTCGCGCTGCGGAACGCGAAGTCGCTTTCCGTCCTATTGGTAGTTCTCTAGAACAGAGCGCGACTTTTTCGCTTCTCGCAGTGCAAAGCTTTTCACCGCAGGGACCCTAGGTCTATTGATGAGTTTTACGGACTACTTGCACTTTCGTCTATGGTCCTGCCACGAATGGCGGAGAGCACAGACGATAGAGAACGGCGCCTGGCTCGGCTCCAAATCCCAAGGAGGGAGGTGAGAGCCTAGGACTAAGCCTTGTAAGGGGGAGGGACTCCGAGGTGGGTGAGCCAATTACAGTGTGGCAAAAGTTTGAATGTGTGAGATCACAGTGGTCATGAGCCGCTGATAAGGCGAGAGAGCGCAGACGAAAGCGTCGAGTGAGGCAGCTTAAAGGGCCGAGTTCAAGTAGTCCGTCGACCCTATTGATGATCGTCGTGAACTCGAGGCTCCCGCAAAGAAAAAAGCTTCGCGGTCTGTCCTAGTCCACACCACTCTGACCGCACGCTCGCGACCAGCGCGTGTCCAAAGCCATGATTCAAAACGTAACTGGGTACATGCTTGAATGAAATAGAAATGGGGTCTATTCCAGTTAGGGGGGGCATCATGATGCAGTTTCTCGGCGAACTAGTGTGAACTCGAACATTCCAGCTTTTCACGCATGTCAAGTGACTGCCCTCACCCCCACCCCCTAGACTGGCTACACTCCCCTGGCTCGGAGTTACCCTAGCTTTTTGGAAATACTGCATCATGATGCCTGGAATAGATCCTAGAAATGTACAAAATTGATGTCACCAGCAGACTCTCAGTACGTTTATCTTCAAAGAAAAAACTCACAGCATCAGTTGCGGATGTTGGCAGTGGACACATCGCCATGTGGGCGATGTGTAAATCCCCATCAGAGCAGAATGATCCAATTAGAAAATAGGCAGCATAGGTTATTCCGTTTTCCTTTCGTTGCTGGAACTTCTGAGCTGTGTCCACGACTGACTCCAGACAACGATCGAACAGGATCATTTGTTCTGTAAGATCAATCGCCACCATGACGGGAATTTCATGCGGAATAAGTTCGCACTTACACCTGGCGACTCATGTATGACAATCACCTGGTGGTTACTATGGCAACAATCACAGTTTTTAACGTCAAAGGAGCTCAGCCATCACTTCGAGGCATTTTCAGACACAGTTTTTGATTTGTCTCGAACATAAACAGTGCTGCTTGGAACTAGTTATCAAAATCGTTACAGAAAGAAAAACACATTATAGCTGAGCTTCTTTGTGTCTAAGCCACCACACCTTTTCTTAAACCGCAGCTGAAGGAAAAAAAGAACAAATTGTAAAAGAACCAATGGACGACAAAATTGAAGAAAGATTGATAGTACACAGTGACAACGAAAGTCGTGATTGCGGACAAAAAATTCACACCAGTTCAGCAGTTCTTGGCGGTGTTCTCAACTACCATTTGGGACTCGACGATCCAGTCATTCTGCGATCCTCTTGCTCATCAATACTTATATGTACACTTTGATTGTGTTCATGCTCACGATTTCGGACAACAGATGAAGAAAATGATTTGTATTGATTGGGAAATTGGGAGATCACGATTCCGCTGAAAAGACTAGATACACATCGATTGGAGTCGTTGGAGTATTAGAGTAGGTGGAGGGGACGAAATAGGAGAATGGGATACAAGGAAAAAAAGAGATCATGACGTCAGCAGATTGGGGGGGATTGTGCTGCAAAGACCAGGTATGATTAGGCTGTGATTTAAAATGGAAAGTATACAAATTGATTAGGCGATCAGGCTAGTAGGCGAGTAGGCGAGTAGGCGAGTGGGCCTTTGGGCGACAAGAGGAGGGTACGTATTGATTTGCTGTTCCGCCCATTGGGAGATCGCCTAATCGCCCAATCGCCTACTCGCCTACAACGCTCTTACCAGGAAGGTCTTTCAGGGCGTGACGAGCTTTTTGAAAACGGTCTTTTGCATGATATAGGGGCACATGCGGGAACCACAGAACCATGGTTAATTTTTCCTGAACGGCCCTCTGAATACCAGAAAAGGGGTCCCTAGTTCGATTCCTCGTGGTGACAAATTTTTGCATTTCGAGTTGACGTTCCAAAATTCGCGCAAAATGGAGTTAGCATGAATAATTAGTACCATATTCATGATTAGGACCGTCAGTAACCCTTACAAATAGACTTTGATTAAAAAACTGGTGGTGTGACACCACAGTGGGGCTGCTTGGTGTCACACCTCTTACACCAATTTTTAAGTCAAAGTCTTTTTGTAAGGGTTACTGACGGTCCTAATCATGAATATGGTACTAATTATTCATGCTAACTCCATTTTGCGCGAATTTTGGAACGTCAACTCGAAATGCAAAAATTTGTCACCACGAGGAATCGAACTAGGGACCCCTTTTCTGGTATTCAGAGGGCCGTTCAGGAAAAATTAACCATGGTTCTGTGGTTCCCGCATGTGCCCCTATATCATGCAAAAGACCGTTTTCAAAAAGCTTGTCACGCCCTGAAAGACCTTCCTGGTTAGCTGATGCGTGGAGCACAAAA